ATGCATGAAACTTAGAACTTTCTCTTAGTGTCATGTTTCTAAAGCAGCTTCATGGCCAGTGAGGAAGAGCTCACTCTTTGCTTGTGCTGCTGCTACAGGGAAAACCTGTGAAGTTCGTAAGTGGGAACTGGTTGCTGCAGGCGGGCGGTAAAAATCCACGTTGACACATGGAGGGAGGGAGGCACCCCACAGGCTGTGTTAGGGCCAGTGCAGTCAGGGTGTGCATACAGACCTTGGGTGGTTATTGGTATTCTCATCAGGGCTTATCTCTGGTTTTATTTAAAAATTGATACATATTTACACCAGGTTCGGCTGAATTGCTGCTGTGACAGAAAGTGCTTTATTGTAGACAGCTCTTTTATATTTTCCATTTTACTGTCTGGCTTTTTAACTACTTACTGCATTTCTGTTTTCCATTTGTTTACACCTTGCTCCTGCCAAGCTTTGCTTTAATACAAGATTTCAAAGCAATTTTTCCTTTGCATACATAGATTTGCAGCTTCTTGAACACGGCATAGTCAAAATCAGTCAAACCCCTTTAAACTCCCCTGCAATTAGCTGGTGAAAGAAAAGGGGGGGAAGAATGGCTGAGATGTCTTTTATTTATTTATTTTCCTCAACACTCAAGAGGAAAAACGTTCCTTTTTGTTTTATTAATGATGTGCTTATGAAATCGAGCGTTTGATGGTATGCACTTGGAGCAGGCAGAAGGCAAGCTTCCCCACGTCGTGCTGGCAGCATGCTTCCTTTCTGATCTGTAGTGCGCTAGTTTATTCCAGATGTAGGAACAGAGGCTGCCTGATGTACAATGGCTTCATGGTGGAGAAAGATGGCCTGCGGGGACCCACTTGAAGTTGCCAGCTGTATTCTCTATTCTCACTTGTGGTCTGTTACATAAGATGACCCATTTCCATTTTTTTTTTTTTTTTGCTTGTGATTAATCCAAGTAGAATATTCATACTGTCTTTAAAAACATTTTAATTATTTGTAGCGTGGGCACTTTGAAGTTGATCAGCTTCAAGTGGAAAAATCTGGTCCAAAGGACTGCCTGATCGAAAGAGCCAAGTTAGGAGGAAAGTTGGGTCACCTAAGAGTGATGTAACTGCAGAGAACAAAAATTTGCCATTAGCCCAACTGCAGCCTGGCTTGAGTGTTTGTCTTTCTACTTCATACGTGAGGGAAATCAAAAAATGTAGCTCTGGAAGGGACTTCAAGAGGTGTACTGGTCTCATCTCCTCTGAGACCATCTTTGACAAAGGTTGGTCCATTGTGTCTGTGAAACCCTTCCATTGAGAGGAATCTACAGTCCCTCTGCATAGACAGGTCTGCTGCTGCTCTGGGTTTACAAGCAAAGTCCATGGGGTGGATCTGAGCAGAGTTAACAGTTGCTCCCAGGAGAAGGGGAACAAATCTCTAAAGGGAAATTTGTGCCTCCTATTCCTTTGATACTCTCAAAGCAAGCATGGATGTCTTTCTGAGTGTCCGTCTTGGCCGAATCTCAGGCGAATTGCATGAAATTTTCTGGTTTCTCATATACAGGTATTCAGCCTAGTGAGCCCTTTTCACTTGGGTTCTCAGGTGCTGAGCTTTGTTATTGTCAGTTGCCTTTGGTTAAAGGATATAGGTCAGTCTTCTTATTCTTAAGAGTGACCAGAACTGGGTGTTGCCTGGTCCCTGGCTGCAACAGGAGCTAGTAGTGCCTCTCTCTGTGTCCTTGCTGAGGACGTCTGGAGTTCGAGGTAACTGGCTGGACTGGCATCAGCACATATGTGTGCTTCAGGCATGAAATGGTTTTGCGCCGAGAGTTGGGGGTGCACGTGTGCAGACTGTGTCACTTCTGAATGAAGCTGTGGGGGTTGTTCTGAGTCATTTTTAAATGAAACTATGAGAATTATTTGGAGAGGATGGAAAAGTTCAGATGATAATAGGAATATAAAACTGACAGCAGCCAAGCAGCAACTAGAATTGCGCAGCCAATTAGAGAGAGCGGTCAGCAGTTAAACTCATCCTCCTCTGGGCAGGGATTATACAGGCTCCAAGGACAGTGACATCAGACCTGTGAACTGCCAAATCTAAATACACTTGGAGTTTCCCCTGGGTATTGTAAGTCTCTGGAGTGGAGTGAATACACCAGAATCCTAGCTTTCATTTAAATAAGTGAGCTTGTAGTCTTTTTGTGTATGAAGGAAAGCTTGAAAATATGATCCTTTAAGCAATTTCAAAATTAAAGACATGCATCACTCTGTCTTTTTTTTCTTTTCTTTTTTTTTAAAGCATTTAGGCTTTGTGTTGTGAACCTGGGAATCTCCAGTAACTCAAGAAATCTGGTTTTAAGTAAAATCTAAATGCATTTACAAATGCTTGGAATTGGCACAGAGCTTTACTATTAAGGCTTGCCTATGATGGAGTCACATAAGATGCACATTCAAAGCAGCAGCGTTTCCTAGCTGGCTGTGAAGTATCCTGTGATGCTCTGTGCAAAAGAGATAGCAGCTTCCTGGGGAGGGGAAGGGGGTTCTGCTGAACACCCCCTTTCTCCAAGAGGCCTCAAGCAAAAGCTAGCAATCTGCTTTTTAATACCTAGCTTTCAGAATCTTGGAGTGACAAACCTTGGAGGTATGTGTGTATTGGTGGGGGGCGTTTGCTTTGTAGCACGTGATTAAATGAAGGGCTATGAATGTTTTATGAAGAAGAGGGAAAGAACAGTGAGGGGATCTGATTTCCAGTCGACGCCAAATTGTTTGTTCCCAGCAAAATGCATGCAGCTGACCAGCAGGGACTGGAGGGACAGCATTTTCTTACACAGGAGATGGTGACCATGTCATTTGAAAATGAGTGAAAGAAATACATGTTTGGGTATGTGCCAAATGCTTTTGTTGTCTTTATTGTGGCTGCATTTTTCTATCCATGTTTGGACTGAGTAATGTGTTACTTTGCAAGTGCTTTTGATTTCAATGGGCGTTCAAGAGGAATGAGATGGTGCTTGCGTTAAGAGCAGCTGAATCTTACCATTTGCTGCTAAGTGTTTTGCTATGTAAATGGGTGTTTGAGAGTGGGTCAGTTAAGAATGAATATGGGATTTTTTATTTTTTAATACAATGTGTGACAGTGAGGAGTGCTGAGGAATGCAAGCTAGGTGCTGCACGTCATGGGCCTTTACATAACTCGCATTCCAGAAAGCTTTTGCAAATTGTTAAACGCAATTTTGTGACTGCATTGTTAAACTTTATTGGAGGGTCTGCTTCCAAACTGGATTTAACAATGGGACACTCAGTGCGGCACCTTGTGAGAAGAATAGATGCTCATCGTTTCAGCCTGGGCTTAGTTGGGGGACGCAGAGACTTGCATTTCTCTGTTACACTGATTTCTTAATGGGTGTGAGGTACTTTTAGAGCAATAAAACCTCTCTGGATCATTTTAATGCTGTAGCTCAGTTCTGTTTTTTAAATAGATAAATACAGTTGACTCTTGCCCCTGTGTTTAATATGGAGTCTTAGGTATCACTCTAATTTATCTCAAAAGTATTCTCTGTCCTGGCACATCCTGTTACTCAACAGGAGACTGAGCTTTTGTCGATGCATTGAGGATCCTAGTTAAACCTGTTGGGATGTTGCCCATGTGCATGACTTTCAAATTAATAGATTACCCACAGGTGTATATGTTTTCAGCCTCAAACTTTTGCATTACCTCTTAAGACACCTGGTTTGTTTTTCCTGTTTCCCCTGCCTGTGGTCTAGGGGCTGTGTAACATCGTTATTAACATTTTTCACTTTGTTCTTAAGATACTTGTGTAGATACTGACCTCTTCGTTTCTGTATCTGAAAAACTCATCTTGCATTGCATTTAAAAGTTTCAGCATAGGGCCCCAGCGATCAGGTAGAAAAAGCACATTTTCTTCAGTTACTAAAGGCTCAGATAAACAACGATGGCCTAAAACCTGCAGGCTGCTGCCACAACCCTTGGGTTTGCTGATATATTTAGCAGTTCGCCTTCTCAGAAACAAGCGGCAATTTGTACATGCTCTTCACAGTTTGCCATGAAATTTTAATCAACTTTGCTACTTGGGTGTTTGCGTACTGCAAGAACATTACTTGTGTGCAGAACAGACCCAGTCGGAAACAGCTGACCTGGTGCCTGGTGACTACAACACATGGCCTAAAATTAGTGTCCAAATCGTGCATTTTGCTGTCTTGCAAGCTTGAAAACGTCCTAGAGTTTCTCATAATTCTGTTATACTGGTTCTTCCCCTTTCTGAGAGACTCCTGGCAATCGCCTTAGGTGTCTTACTTGCTTACTTATTTTTCTATTTCCTTTTTGCTCCGGTGATATTTGCCACACTTGTGTTTCCTTGTGCCCAGTCCTTTCGGTAGGACTCATGAGATCTGGGTTTGGGTTGCATTTTGTGTTGCCCTGGAGTTTGTAAAGCACTTTTTGGATATGTAATCATTAAAAAAAAAAAAAAAAAAGTGTCCTAAACATTGCCTGTTACCTTGCTTATACTGAAAAGTTATTCTCTGCGGTGGGTAAATCTATTATTTACACTCAGTACAACAGCTGTCCAATACGAAATATTTGATTGACAGCTGGTAATTTGAAGCTAGTGGTTTTTTTCCTGTGTCTCAAATCCTGCAAACCCCTCTGGAGAGGGAAACACTACAGTGTGATGCCAGTCTGGTCCCTGCTGCAATAGCAGCTGCTCTAGTTGGTGTTCACATTCCCCGTTGAACAATGCCTTGCTCCTCTGCAGCCCTGCACAGCTCATCCTTGAGTTTTGGCGAGGGGATTTGAGGCTGCTGCTTGCTTCGGGAAGGATTGGGGCGTTGAAAGCAACACCTCTGCGTGGCTCAGAAAAGTTGCAAACAGCCCTGCAAAGAAAACTCTACAAGCTGACCCTTCTCTGTGCTGCCTCCTCCTTTCTGCCTCCTTCGCTTGGACCGCAGCTAACACAGCAAAGCTAAGCAAAAACACCCGTATAGCTTGAGCTATACAGATATGTGGTGATGGGCAGCAAGGTGCTAAATAGCTCCCTCCTGTACCCTCCCAGCCCTCTCTCAGTGTCCAAATCCAAATTCAAGGACTCTCTGCACGTTTTCTCTCAGCGAGAAGGTTGCCGCATATGGAGGATGCACATCCTGAAGGGGACGGACGGGCTGGGAATCCAGATAACGGGAGGCAGAGGGTCGAAGCGGTCCCCTCACAGCATCATCGTCACCCACGTGGAGGAAGGTGGCTCCGCACACAGGTGAGGCGCTGGCGGTGCCTTCACGGGAGTGGGTGTGATGGAGCATCCATGGCCATCGCTGTTAGCCAGACTCATGAGACAGGTGTAGGGGTTTTGCCCTCCCATTGTGTGAGGGTGACAACATGGCATTTTTAGCTTAAAAACTTACTTTTTGTGATTGGTCACTGAAGCTTCTTCCAGCATGTTTAGCCCAAACTATAGACAGATCAAACACTTGTTTGGTGATGGAGCGTGAACCAAGGAGGCTGGTGGCTTGTGAGACTTTTTTCCTAAGTCCCTTTTTGGAAGATGGGCCTTTCCCATGGGATTGGCAGGGGGTGAGCGTGGGTTGTGCAACCCAGGGTGCTCACTGCCAGCCCTGGCCCTGCTCCCTGACGGGGGGCAGATGGGTGTCACTGCTGCTTCCTGACCATCTCCTGTGAGGCACAGAGAAGGTTTGAGGGGTCTCAGCCCTGCAAAGAGGGTGAAATGACTCTGATTATAACAACAATTTCCTGGGGGCACCTTTCTGAGCTGCTTTTTTTGGCAAATAACCTTGCACCAATCAATGCAAGCTTAGCGTCAGCCAGATCACGTGTTGCCCATCCCTCCATGTCCCACCGCGTGCCACTGGAGCCTGGCACTGGGGAAGGACCACCCTGCAGCTCCGTGTTCCCGCTCTGTTTCCACAGGGACGGCAGGCTGACAGCAGGTGATGAGCTCCTCATGATCAACGGGCAGTCGCTGGTTGGGCTCTCCCACCAGGACGCCGTGGCTCTTCTTCGCTCGGCTGCTGGCCTGGTGCAGCTGGTGGTCGCTAGCAAGGTACAGTCCTGTCCTTGGTGGTCTCCTGAATGTACATCCAGAAGAGATTGTGCAAGTGCTGCGTGGAAAGGGCATGTTTTTGATAGGGAATCAAATGTGCACATTTGTTCCCCTGAGTTTAATGCACAGATATAGGAAACATATCAGTAGCTGCCATAAATCTATGGCAAATCAATAAGGTGTAGACCAACTTAGTGATTTGCTTGTATTGTCACTGTCATTCAGTGTGCAAATGAGTCTGTATTTATTCATGCAGATGTTACTTAAGTTTTGGCCAAAACCATTCTCTTAAAATGTATGCTAAATAAAGCAGGCTGTTCTTGGCCTCTTCTTCCTGCCTGCATAGCCTCCCTAGCTCTCATCTCTTGTCCTATCTGTTTGCCTGAGGTCTCTTGATGATGATCTCTTGGCTTGAGTTCCTTATTTTGTCCTTGTTAATAGCTTGGAGTGGAGCTCTTGCAGATAAAGGAGCATGAAATTTCAGGGAAATGAGAGTGGAATTCATTTATCAGTCGGGCTCTTCATTCTCCTTTCATTGCGTGAGAGGTTGAGGAGAGATATTAAACAGTATTTCGCCCTTTGTTTAAGAAAATCCTTCCCATCTGCCCACCCCTGTTTCCTCCCCTCCCCGGACCACAGCCTGCTGCTGCCCTGCTTGGGTTGATGCAGGTATTTGGTGGGTGGCGGACTGGCTACCGAAAGCACATGAGGTCTCAAAGAAGGCCGTGCCTGCAGGTGGAGGCCATCAAGGCCTTTGGGGTGGTAGCAGGAACATCTTGGGCTAAAGGGACCGTTTGTAAACTTACATTTCCAAGGAGAGCGTGAAGTTCTCAGCGAGCCACTGTTTTGTTATTTTTTTAAATTTTTCTTATCTTCACCTTCAGGTAGCCGCAGGCAACCTGATGCAGGCTTCTGTGGGTTTAATGGCTGGATGCTGTTATGGCTTCCGGGCATGCTTTGTGCTCTTCTTTTTCAAGATGAGGCTCTATCCCACCATATTCAAAGTGAAGAGCCTATACTTCTCTAATGTTTCAGTTAGACAGTGAAGTTCATTCAAGACCTTCTGTAGGCTTACAGCCTGGTATTAACCCCACTGGTGTTTATTCTGGAAACGACAGTCTTTGAGCTGAAGTACCTACATTTTGTATTTCCTTTAGACAACTGGACTCTGACAAAACACAGGGCAGTAGACTGCATAAATTTCTCCTTAAAATTATTTGCTTATTCATGTGATGATTGCATCAAAATAATCATTGATAATAAGCTTACAGCATAAAACAGCACGCTCCTGAGATCAGGCCGTGAATCTATTTCGCCTGTGCTCTGTGCACTTGGACAGTTTTCATGTCCCTGGGAGGAGGACTTGGAAAGGCAAGCAGTGGGGAATCCAGCCTGTGCTGTGTTTCAGGCAGTCTCAGAAAAGGTGTAAATAGGTGAAGTGTTCCCCAGCAGCTCCCTATGGGTGTTATTTGTTGGTATGGGAAAGCAGCCTTGCAGTTTGGCCTGGTGAGTGCTCTTGAATGCAGAATTTGTTCTGAAAGCAATAAAATGAGTCTTGTCTGGCCACTGCTTTCAGCTGGTGTGCATGTTTGCCTCCTGGAAAAGGTGCCAAAGACTGGAAACAGATCCTGAAGCATCAGGACTGAGTTGGTAGAGGATAGGTGGGTCAGTTTTCATTTTGTTCGCCTAAGTAGGGTTGTCAGTGTATTATTCTAATGCATGTGGATAGATAAACATGTGAAGGGAACATCCGCAGGGAGGGAGCAGGAGCATAGAGTGTGATTTGGGATGCAGTGAAATGAGTAATGAGGTCTGTAAACTCTGAGTCTGCTTGCAGTGACGTTTAGTAAACCTAAAGTGGGGAGGAGCAGGCTGCTGGAGAAGCATTTATTTTAAATTCTCCTTTATGAAATCTAAATATTTTAGATGTATATTGGCCTGTGTTTACTATATATGCACTTTAAAACCAGGGCTGCTTTTTGTAACTGGACCATTAAAGTTTGAGCACATGTAACAAGGGGAGGATTACCAGAGAGCTGTCACCGGACAGGTGAAATGGAGCAGTTTCACCATTACTTTGGTGGTTTTCTGCACACAGTGTAACATATTTTGTTGTCTCTCGGGTAGGAATCTGCTGAAGGGGATTTTCTGAAGTATCCATCTACCAGTTTGCCAGACTTGCTTAGCACTTGCTCAGTCCAAGACTCTGTTTCTTGCACTGACAATAAAGAAAACGAAGAGCCAGAAGAAGAAGATGTGAAAGGAGTGAATGTGTCTCCTGAAAAACTGGTCGCTGTAAGTGTGGCTTTGGTGTGACATTTTTTACTCTCTCCCTTGATGCCTGTTTGCATCTGTCACATTTTTGTACAGCCTGACAATGGAGCAGGTCCTCAGGATGGGGCAATCCCATCCAGCCCTTCTTTACTTGGGACATGGGTGACAAGCTGAAATGGGGATGGCATCTACCACAGAATCTGCCACCTCTGCTATTGCACTGCAGCAAAGCAGCAGCACAGGGAGCAGGAGCTCTCGTCCTCCAAGCTATGTGGCAATCATGGTTTTGTTTTTCTCTCTGCTGTTGGATTGTTTTCCACCCACTTCCCACTGCTTTTGTTGGATCTGATGCAAAGTCTCTCTCAGTGCTTACGCGGTAACACGCTCTTCTTTCCTCTCCTTTTGTAACTAAACTTCTTCAACAGTTTATGATCCAAGTCTTCAAGTTTTTATTTGCTCTGTTGAAGCCAACAGAGACTTTTGGGGGGAGGGGTATGGATTTCTGGCTGTGAACCGTAACTGAAGTTCTGATGAATAAGTGCTGCCAGTTGATAATCTCACTTGCATTCCCTTCAGGGCTGCATTAAGCAGAGATTAAGTGGATTATTGTTATTTATTTGTAATGTAGCAGCTCTCTGAAACTTCATCAGTGTTCTCGGCCTCTGTTGTATTGTACAGACAAAGAATAAAATTATGTTTGCTACTCCAAAGAGCTTGCAGGCTGGTTTTCCAGCAAGGGAAAGCAGGTGGATTCACTTGAAGCTATTGTATTTTTAATTTTCTCTTCCTGTCTTTTTTTTCACCTCTTTACTGTGGGAGTTATAATAAATCTCTTAAACCTCTGGACCACTCAGATGTGATACTGGTTTGGTGATTTGTTCTGATTTTGTATTCTTGTACTTTTTCTGAGCAAAAGTCTGTTCCCCAGGACGTCTCGCACTGTAGTCTAGCTGATGCTGGTGTCCGCTTCATACCTGCCTGTTATCTCTGACTTCCTTTGAGTCTATGCTTATAACAGTCCTCACTCTCACATGTGTATCTACTGTGACAAGTTTTGTTATTTCTTCACTGTCTTCTCTTCTGTGTGCCTTTTTTGGAGGAGGAAGGGCAAAACAAATAAATTTGGGATGCTTAGCGTGCTGATGATGGTGTAGTGTTTGTATGCTAACTTGAGTGGGCAGCTAAGCATTCTTTTGGCTATCAAAATACCTTAAATTCTTCTATATATCATGTTTCAAGTTCTGGTAGTTTTTCATAAGGCTGTGGCTCAGCAATGCTTAAACATAAAAATCAATTTTGTCAAAACTTAATTGTGTGTGGCTTCAGGTTGCAGCTCCCCAGTGTTCCAGTGACTCTTTCGGCACATGCTAGGCATTAATCGTCATTTGGTTTGCTCCTGACTTTCCAGAAGGGCTCTGCCTCGTTTTCAGTGATGGCTTTTTTTTGTCAGGTGTTTCCTTTCCAGATTAACATAATGCTAGGGGAAGCCTGAGGTAGCTGAGGTGCACGCCACTGTGAAGACTCGGCTGCACGAGCCTGCCCAGAGCTTCTCAGCATGGACCTGAGTTTGGAGCCTTCCCCAATGTCTGTCCCAGTGCCACTGCAGCTGGCACTGGCATTCTTGCCCCTGATGGCAATAGCTCTGTGCTCTCGTAATGTGTCACTGAGAGACAGGAGGGGAATCACAGAAATCTGAGTACAATAAACACATTAGAAGAATACCAGTAAGAATTTTTTTTCTTCTTTTCTCTGTTTGTATTAAATTTTTTTCTGTGGGAGGGGATGTAATTCAGAGGAATACAATAAGTTATTAGTGACTCTTAGGACCTCTTCTTGTTTTGCTTAAGCTGTACATTAAATCCTTCCTCTTCTAATCTAATTGCTGTCTCTGCCTCGGGAGTGCAGATGGGGCTCTCTGCAGCCTGGGGTGGGCAGTCTATACACATAGACCCCTCGGCTCTACCCACAGCCTGATCCATCCTCATCAGATCAGAGTACCCTACCAGGAGAGTTGAGCCCAGCTGTGTGCCACCAGGCAGGATGTAGGAAGGTAAATGTATGGAGAAGATGAACTTGACACGTGGCTTTTATCCACCTGGCAAGATGGGGGGGGGATTTTTTCATAGCAAAGCTTAGGAGCTAATTTCAAGGACAGTATGAACATGAAGTATCACATGGTTTTATTTTTTTAACTATATATATATATACATATATATGTATAGTCATATAGATTATTGTGAAATTGCTTTGGAAAACACTGTTCTTTGCAGCTCCCACTCTCTGGATACTCAAGTATCTTCTTTTTCTTTCACATATATTCGATTATATTTATACTGTAGATGAGGGTTTACACTGTGACTGCTGACTAAAGCAGGAACTAAGCTGGACCAGTTTTAATCAGTACAAATAGAATTGTTTTAGGCTTCCAGGGTGGGTGGTACTCAAGGTCTGGACCAGGTAACTTGGACGGTGGTCTCAGTTTAAGTGTCAGACCTCTTAGATTTCAAACCAGTTCTCGACCCAGCTCCAGCCAGGAGTTACCTTTCTCACCACCAGTTTCTCACCTCTGACAAGAGGTTAATGAATTTTCTTGTTTACTATGCAGGGCTTTGTAGGGACTTAAAGGGATGCTGTCAGGTACTGGATGGTTAAGTAACAACAGGTAGTTCTGTGATTTATTGTCAGCTGAGGCTTCACTCTCATTTTTCTTGCCAGCATAGTGTATATCTAATTCTTGAGCAAGTGTAGAAGATGCTACAAAACTTACAGGAGCTCTTAGTGTTTGTCTAAGGTCTTGTTTCATTAACTTTACTGTGAATATAGTTCAGTGCTGGGTATTCAGAACCATAATTTATAAACCTGATGGACTTGCCATTAATGCCTTAGCAACAGGTTAGAGGCTGAACCAGGCAGAAAATGTAATCACTTGGAACTAAGGTATGTATTCAAATCTTCATCAATGTAGCTGGACCAGGCCCTGAGGAACCTGATCTAAGTTGTCTCTGCTTTGAGATGGGGGCTGGACCAGGGACCCCCAAAGGTTCCTTCCAACCTGGCTTACTCTATGATTCTGTGAAAAATAAGTTTTAAAAAATACTTTTTAAAAAAAAAAAAATCTCTTTTCTAGGAGCTGGATGTTAAAAATGTTTCCTGTGAGCAAGTTATTTAAAAATGTTAAGTTCTGCTCCAGTGATTCCAGCCAGGGAGATGTAATCTGAGCTAGTCAGCTTCCCCAGGACACAGCAGGAGAGTTTAGTGACACCTGAAAACTGTATTTTAAGAGAAATATCACTTGTAAGTCTTGAAAGTCTGTGTTTCATTAATAAAAAATTTCTAATAAAATATAATTTGAGCTCTGTTTTTACATTGTCCTTATATAAATCCCTGTTTAACATGAAATATCCCTAAAAGTTCTAGCTTCAGTAAAACCTGAGCTGCCAGGCAGAAAAAGGATTACATTACTATCCTTAAAGTGCATTTCTTATAGAGCTAGGTCAGCCAGAATGTTCCTTAACTTCAGATATGAAATACCAGGCCACAGAGTCATGTTGTGCTAAGTTACCCTGGCACACTTTGGGGATTTTAAACCCTGCCCTCCCCAATCCATATTTTGTCTTGTGCAGTTGGCATTGCTATTTTAAAATGTCATTATTTATGTCCAGGTGAAATAGAATGATATGATAGTATTTGCCTTTGATGTTTTCTTTTTAATTCTAATTCACTTTTTGTAGTATTTCTATTGCTTGAAATTCAGCCTGTCACTGTATTGCTGGCTGGTGGAGCAACCTGGGAAACGAACTCTAGAGGGAAAGCAGGTCTGCGAAGAATTTGCAGTGTCTGATGAGTTTGGGGCATTTTGGGTCCTCAGACGGAGGCATGTGCCATTCTTAGTTGCTTCAAAAGTGTTTTGCATTTTTTTCTGGTAGTGCTATGTTGTTCAATATATGGTGATCGAAGTACTTTATTTTTGAAGCATTCAACTTCAGTGAGCAGCTTCATATTAATGTCTTGAAATTCCAGAAAGTTACTAAATGCAAGAAAAGGGTTTCTGCCTCAGGAGGTTTGGATCTGTAGTTGCTGGAGGCAAGGAGGGAAGGCTGGGGACTGTTCCTCTCTACTTTACTTAATCTTGTTGCTCTCCCCTGAGTATCTCCGCTCATGATGCTGGAGGCAGGTCCATGAGCCAAGTCTATTCCATGCAGAATAGAATTGTATGAAAGAGAAATTTCTTGTTTGGGAAAGGAGGTCATCATTATCTCTAGCTATTTGCGGGGGGGGTGTGTGTGCTGGGAGGCTGGGAAGGGAGGCGATTTGCATCCCCATGCCCAAGCTCACCATGCAGGCCAGCCCTGGGGGCACAGACTCCGGCAGCATCCCTGGCTATGTGAACCTCTGCTGTCCGGTGGCAAGCCCCTTTTGCTTACATGCAGTCTTTTTGCATTGACCTGAAGTGCTTACTGTGTACCACACAAGCTGTGGGCGCATTGCATGCAGAGATGGCCGTGACCCAGCAAGGTCTTGATCCTTGTACAAGTAACAGGAACAGGACATCTCAGGTTAAAAGTTTCTTGCATGAGCCAGGTTTCCTTATTCCTACTTGTGTTTTTTGCAAGACATGAAGCCAAAAGTGGATAAATAAACTTGTTTTGTGAATATAAAGAAATGCATTTGTTTTACCTCCCTCCCTCCCCATTTTTATTTTTTATCTGAGCCATAGTACTGTTCAGTTATTTACTGTCACGAGCCTTTCTGTCTTACCAGGGAATCCATACGTAATTACTTGTAGCCATGTAAGCATAATAAGGAAGAGGGTAACAATGCCATAAGTTTAAAAACACTCTTGGGGTCAAAAGTTCTTCTGGAAACACTGGAAGAGAATTTCAGAGAAAACATTAGCATTGAGAAGGAACAGGAAGCATAACTCAACAATTAAATGTGTGCAGAGCACGAGGAGGGACCCTCATTACTTGGAGAACTTAAGCGTTCGTTCCCATTAGGGCACTGCAGTCTTGAAAGAGGTT